ATTTTTTATTTTTGGGACAGAGAGAGACAGAGCATGAACGGGGGAGGGGCAGAGAGAGAGGGAGACACAGAATCGGAAACAGGCTCCAGGCTCTGAGCCATCAGCCCAGAGCCTGACGCGGGGCTCGAACTCACGGACCGCGAGATCGTGACCTGGCTGAAGTCGGACGCTTAACCGACTGCGCCACCCAGGCGCCCCAAGAGTCAGCACCTCTTAATGAGATACTTAATTTCTCCGAGCAGACTGAATGCTGACGGTCTTTGAGAGGAACACGCAAAATTAAAACATGAGCCAAGGTATCTATCTGCCTTGGCCCAACCCTCTTCGTTTCACGTTGGGTAGGATAGGAACACTAATTGCAGGCAGGAATCCGGAGAGTAGCGGGCTCGCTCGCTCTCTTTCGACGGCTCTCCCGGTGCAGGGCCCACAGGATGGAGGATAACGCGCCCGTGTCGGGTCCGTGCTGGCTCCCTCTTTAAGAACTTAGAAAAGGGAGAGGCGCGTTCTCCCTGTTGAATTTGAAACCCAGATCACTTGACTTGATTCAAACTGCTCTCGAATGTTCCTTGGGTAGTTTCCCTCTGTATTCGTGAGGTCCTTAGTCCTGAAGTTTCAAAGTAACCTCACCTAGTTCTCCCCGGGCCAGGCAGGCACCGATACAGAAGTGGCACTAATCCTTTAAGAAGCCAGGAACTGGGGCAATCGTTGGACTCTGCAAGGTTCTGATAACTGGATTTTCGTCTCTGATTACCGATAATGTTTTTAATTTGGGGTTGGAGCTGTTCCCTCTGGCAATAAGTGAAGCTTGGGCAGACAGGGCATGCTATTGTTCTAAAATAGAGTTCAGATTCGATTTTGCCCAAACAGGTACAGAACCGGGAAAACTTGGCTTCTGTTAATGCTGTACTTTGGGCCACATGTTCCTAAATTCTTGCTGGCTTGTTTCACTTTTAGGAGTTTTACCCTATCTGAGCACCAGCTGAAGGTTTTTTGTTTTGTTG